TGCCCATTATCTGACATAATAGATAGCTGTATTTTTTCAGAACTGAGTCAGACTGGTGTAACGTGTGAGAGTATCTAGACCAAGCTTCTGTATGACAACTTTGGCTTTTATTTATAAGTAAATACTGGATCTCACAAAAAATGCCAAGGTAGTAACTTTAGAGAAAACAGATCTCTAACCACAGGAGGACAGCACGTACAGCAGATTGCAAACTTCTCTTTCGTGAATGTACTGCTCCTAGTGGTTCAGACTGAAATGTAATCCATCTATTATACTCATAATTGGTAGATTTATACCAAAAATGTACCTTTGAAATTAGAACCTAGCAGTTTTTTAGATTCCGTATAGAAATATGGGAATTGTGTGAATATGCCAAAAAGGGTATTTTGTGTTTCCCATGAAGATACTGCAAAGGTACCTCACTTTAAACAGAAGACCAGGTGATACTGTATACAGTTGGTGTACTGCAAATGGGTATTTTACAGCATATTGAAAGTGCTAGTCTCTTTTATGTTAAGGAATCAGAGATTATACTAATAGAGCTAATTTCTAGAGAATCTGGGCCAAGGATTTCAAAAAATCGACAACCTTGCAGGACTACTCCATAACTCCAGAAAGGCTTGTTGTAAGACGCTTTGATTGTTGAGAGCCAGATCTAAAGACCACCAAAGCCAGGGGAGGATTTTCATTAGCTTTAATGTTCTTTAAAGCAGACCAACAGTTATTTGACTACAAAGAAGTATCGGCTAATTTGATTTTTCATTAAGAAATCTGCAAAAGTATATTTGTCAATAATTTGTACACTCTTCAGAAAGACATAAGGGGATGAGTGTATAAAGTCTTCATATCAATTTGCACAGAAATTATTTCTCCTAAACCCATGCAAATGTTCCTGTACAATACGGTGGTTAAGTGTGCTTGCTGCTTTGTCGTCATTGTCATCTACGGGCTCTGTGGTGGTCTCAAGAATCAGATTTAAATTGCCTTGAAATGCAGTTTCAAATATGGGAGGACTGGAGGTCAGTCATCTCTCTTGGGCTACTGAGGGAATTTCAACCACTTCCTGAATGTCAGTCGCTTCAAAAGATGTTAAAAACAGAGGCATCCACACGTACATGAAATCTAGCATGTTTCCCTTACATCTTTTGTCAAAATGCTCTTCGCCTACATCATGTTAGAGGCTGAACGTCAGTTGTGTGTCAGCTGAAGAGATGTACAAAAACAAAGAACGATGTGTGTTCAAAATGTGGCTGCTGTTTTAGTGCAGTCACAAGCAGTATTGTGTTTCCAAGTAAATACGAAGGAATTCTGTATACTGCTGCTGTGTGATGGACAGAGGCATATAGTCTTCTCAGAAGGTCTGTATTGAGCTGTTTACCAGATTCCCCTAAGCCTTATTCATCTTTTCACCTGAAAGTTACTATAAAATTTTCACATGCCTCTTTTCTATCTGTCATTGTTTCAAAACAACAAAAATGTTATCCTGCATTCTAATTTTGCCGTGTGAATCGCTTGTTTTGTAGACTGAAGTTTAGAGGCTTGCTTCTTTTCTGTTGTTTTATACATAGGTAGTTCCAATATAGTTACTTCCTGCTTTGCATCACTGTGAAGTGAAAGGAATACCAGACTGGGGCTGTGAATGTTATGTATCAAACAACACTAGGTGCATTCTGCCAGTTAAAGCTGGTCAGGAATTTTTTGATAATGCCTTTTTTCCCCCCCCTTTAAGAAATGTTAGTTTGTCAAAGGTTTTCTGTTTTGACATACCCCAGTAAAATGAAACCTGGTTTCCTGCTAGTCCAGTGGGCAGGTTGTGGATCCAGGGATTGTGGGGGGAGCCTGGGAGCCCTTGGAAATAAGGACTCCTTGGCTCCCACATTTCCTGCTGTAGTCCCAGACATGCAGGAACCAGCACTCAGCTCTCAGCTCTGCAGAAGGGATCCTGTGTACCTAGAAAACGTTGGTTTGGCTGAGATCTGCAGGCTCCCTTGTGCAGAGTTGAATGATGTTGCTTTTGCCATGTTCCCCAAGGCCTTTGTGTCTCACCCTCAGATAGGGAGTTGAGAAATGTTCAGAAGCCCACAAGGACTGGGATGCTTGAGCTTCTTACAGACATGGTTTTATAGCTGGTAGACATGACAGAGGTCACGAATAATCAGAAGTATAGAAGATGAAGAAATTAAGCTAAGCCAGAAGGGGCCTCTGAGCTTAGAAGATGGGGCTATTAATTCAGTTTATTTAAAAACATCTTTTAAAAAGTGATTATTTCAAAGCATTTTTTTCCTCTTAGGCAAGGCTTTTCAAAATTGTTCTTTTTGACATTTCACAGATATGGCATTTCATGGAACAGAAAATCTTCTTTTTAACAGCTCTGCTGCTAGTGACAGAGGACTCTCTTCGCCTTCTCAGTCAATGCCAAACTAGTGCTCTGCCTGAGTTAAGCTTATAGAAACTGAACCTTAATCAGATTATTTTTCTCCTGTGCTCTGTTATAGTATTTTAGTCCCCAGGTGACTCAACCGTGCATTCATTACATTCTCCCTAAGGTTCACTCTAGTTCTTGTCATGAACATATCAACGGCCAGCTGCAGTGATGAGTGAGAGAAATTATGGGTTAACACATATTTCAAGAGGAAGATACTCCATTACCTGGAGACTTCCTCATTTTTGCAGGTACTAATTTTGAGTTCAATATTTCAACGGTGACCACATAACCACTGCACTCCTTTTCAGAGAAAAGCACATGACTGCTTGATTTTCACAGTAACTCTTTATTTTTTATTTTACAAAACATGTCAATAAACTTATTCTCTCCCATAAACAAAGAAGCTGGAGGAACTTGAGTTCATTTTACTTTTTGTTCAGAACATTTTTTGGCTCATATGTCACCTTTGAAAAATCCATTGATGTATACGTATGGTTATAGCTCTAATTAAAGACCTGAGCTGGAGGAATTATCCAGGTGTTTACTCGCCATTTTTCAAGAACGTCATTGTGTGACCACTGCTAGAGGACCACACTGAGACTTCCATTCAGCCAATGTAGTCCATGTACCTTGAACATACATAAAACAGTGGCATGTACAGTGATACTTGGCCACGAAATACAGGGAGGGATCTAGTATGGCTAAGTGATGCAGTAATGTATTAAGAATAACATCACCATTCTAGGGAGGCAGAATAATAAATATAATGCTTTGACAGTGAAAACCTTCCGCAAAGACTTACCCTCTCCTCTGGAGCTCTGAGGATTGTGTCTGTTTGTACTGTACTGTTAACTTCTGTAATAACACCAGGGTTTAACATCAGTGTCCCTCATCTCTTAGACTGATCTATTTTCAGAAGTGCCTGGGAATGCAACATTATGCAAACTGGAAAGAAGTTCAATAGTTTGTTCTGCCAAATCAATCCAAGTATATTTTATTGTAGTATTGCAGCCTCTGATTGTCTTTCTTACACAGCTGTTACACTGATGCCAGAGAGCTTGCTCTTGGATGAGTGGGGAGAAATAAGCCTATTGCACTGGTGAGGGAGACCCATAAATCCCTGTCTATTTCTAAAAGTAGTTTAGCTTCTGGTCCCAGACAGACTGTGGTCCCATGCATTAGAGAAAGTATGGTGTCAGGCAAAAAATTGGCATTCTGCAGAGCACATCCAAAGTCAATAAATGGACTTTAACTTTTAAAGGTAAAAATGTAATATTAGTAATGGTTGGCTCCTCAGTTTCTGGAATGTTATGAAAACCTTAAAATCAGTTGAGCCAATATAATGAATCTGTTCTAAGAACTGAATGGGAATACTTCAAAACTTGCTTCCAAAACTTAGTGACATTTCATAGCAGGTTCATATTTATGCTTTTAGGAGTATAACTTAAAAGCATAAGGTATAAGTTATACCTTATAAAGAAGGTATAACTCTTTAAAAAAAAAACCAAAACAAAAAACCACTCCAAACCCCCACACATACGGCCAGTTCCCTGGTAGGTATAAATTTACATAGCACTTTTGAGTTCAATGAAGCTTTGAAAATTTATGGAAGTTCAGAACCAGTTCAATAAATTGCAGTGGAATGGGCTTCTATGTATATCAGTATCTGTGTTATTATCCCCATTTTCTTTATTTTCTTGGAAGGTCAGATATATCTTTGTATATTAATGAAGAAGCTCCGTCTTTCAGAAAGATTGTTTTGCATGTAATTAGGAAAAAAAAGTGTGTAAATATTCTTCTTAATGAACTGGTAGGGAAGACCATATTGGAGTTCATAACCAACAATGGATTTTAGCGTTCCCTTGGTTTTTTGGGTTTCATTGCACCTTTAACCTAAAACATGTAAATGCTAGGAAACTGGTAATGAGAGGTTTTGAATTGGAAAAAATGAGCCATATCTAGTTGAACCACAAAATATCTACATTGTTGGAAGGCTGGCTTTATCAAAAGAAAACAAGATTTTTTTTAAGTCATTTTAATCACATCAGTCATGTTGCAGCAAGGAATGCAAATATTCATATACTACAGATTGAGACTGCTCTGAAATGTTCTGACAATCTGTTATGTTTTGAGTGATGTTTCAACCCTATCACTTGGGGTTTTTTGTTTTGCTTTTTTATGACTATAAAAAACCACTACTCATCTCTGTCACATGCTGTACAGGATAAAAAGCCTTTCAGTTTTCTTAACAAGAATCAGACGGCCAGGGTGCTGCTGGAACGCAGAGAATATGCCACTGTCTGTTCAAAGTACAGCTTAATGAGCCAGACTAAACACACTGGACAATAGAGCTGTGGGGGGAAAGGGCTTCTCATGGATCTATGGATCAGCTGCAGCTTTAACATCTAACTAGTTTCATTTTTCATCTTTACAAGTTCCATTTCCCTGTTTTGTTGGTATAAACTACATTTCAATGAGCGGACTTTCCTGCCTAGGTGACGGTATTGTGTGCTTTGAAAAAGGATATCGGGGATTATGCTAGAAATAATTTCTGTGTTTCTTTTTTCTCTCATAGTCACGACCTATTCCCTCACACCTTACTTCAGCAGTTGCAGAGAGTATCCTGGCTTCCGCCTGTGAGAGTGAAAGCAGAAATGCTGCAAAAAGGATGCGGTTGGATAGACAGCAGGTACTGTGTTGTTTGGGGGTCTACCACATCCATATTTATAAATGCACTGGACTCATTTACGTAGGATGCCATGCAGAAGGGTGGTGCAATCCCTTATACGTTTCTTGCTAGCAAGAATAATTAAAATACAAAAGCTGTAGTTCTTTAAATGAATACACAAGCATGTCTTTGTCTATATTTACATAAGCTGTATGAGGGTGCCTAGTATGTTTATAATGTCCAGCTGGATAAAGCTATATATTTGCTTTTTAACGGTTGTAGATTTTGAGGGCAGATTGTGTAATCTGCATACTAGAGTTTAAAGGAACAGAACATACAGTATATATAATTTTCATAAATAACAGAAATGATGCATGTATCTATGAGTCAGTGTGTTTATCTGTGCACATATTCTCTTTCAAAATGTGTATGCATTTGTAAATGTAAGGTGAAATAGTGTGTTTCTGAAAATACCTATTTGCCTGAAACAGAAAAGTTATTGTGATACATACCAAAATGCTGTCAATTACCTTATTAGTGAGATTTTAAAGCTCATATCAGTATTTATTTTTTCTTACGTGATTATTCACCTATTCTAGTACATGTTAGGATTTAATTATTTTTAGTTTGCTGAGAATTGCATGTTTTCTTTCAATTTTTAAAAATCAAACTGGTAGCTTGTTCCAGGCTTTGATTATTTAGTTGCTTCACGGATACAGAACGTCTAACATCATTATTGCAAACATGATTATGCTTTATTTCTCTTCATGATTTTCATAAAGTCCAATATCTCACTGGCTCCAAAATATGCCTCAGTCATGGTAGACAAACTTTTTGTGGAAAAGGACATTTTTTAAAAGAACATTTTTCTTTTATACATAGTCCATTGAGTTCTTTCAGGTCCTGCCCTAACTGAATAAAGAGTCCTACTACTATCCTTAGAACACTGATACCTTAGGAGCTGAGAGTGGATATTGCTATTTCTTTTTACTGTTATATTTTTTGATAGTATTGTCATAATTGCAGTACATTTGCCTTAAGATTTACAGACCACATGGGATGTCAAAGTACTGTAATGTTAAGTATGGCTTAGTTTAGAAGTGGTGCTCATACAGATTGTGCAGGTTTTATATTCTCTCATTTTGGGCATATGTTCTCTGATTTTTCAGTAACAATTAAAAAACAAAAAAAGAACAAAGCTCCAAACTCAATGTGCTTACCCCAAGCAGAACTAGAAGAGACTTGTACCAACATCAGTTGCTTTCATTGCACTGGCTGGAGACTAACTTGTCCTCAGTAATCACAAAAACAGTGGCTCAGTTCCTTGGTCCAGCCAGGGTGAGGCAGAGCTTTCGAGTGATTTAGATGAGTATCCTGTAGTACTCTCCAGGGAGCCAGAGAGCTGTTTAAAGAAAAACAATTTAGAACTGTAGACAGAAATAAAAAAGCTTATTAATAGGATTTTTCTTTCTTTTATTTGTGGTGTTACTGTCACGGAAGGATTTGGTAGCAGTTGTTGAGGGGAGAGATATGTCTTTACTTTTCCTTACAGAATTCAAAATCTGTAGGCAGAATGGCTCCAAACTGATCATCTTAATTACAGTTGTGATGTTAAAGTAGCAAAGTTGCTTACAAAGATCAGGTGTTGGGTTCTGCTTCCTTCAGCTCCCTCCTCTTTTTGGCAGTGAGTTCCAGGAACACTGTGGAGACAGTTGCAAATAGCACCAGCCATTTGATTCAGCAAGCAGTAAATTAGCTGCACTGATGTAGCTTTGGTGCTTGCAAAACTATTTGTGAATTCAGGATAGATTTGCTGAATAGTTTTGGCTGGAAAAAATTATAGGAGTGTGTGTTAGGTAGCTTCATAAAACTTAAGAGTGAGAAATTTACTCTGCAGGACAGAATAGTTAAGTCATTAGAGAAGTAGAAAATCTTGGTTCTAGCCCCAGTTCCGTTGAAATTTAATTATTTACTCCAAGTATGTGACATTAACAAAGTAGATTGAGAGCAAAGCATTCCAGAATATTTCTGAGTGGGGTATTTAACACACACTACTGTGCCCAGTTCTTATGCTGAGATGGGAAGTAGACCTCTGTCTTCACATCCAGGGAGAGTGCCTTATAGGTAAAAGGGCTCTATCCTTCTCGTCTTCCTATTTTTTCCTTTTATGTACTTTTAAATTTCCTTCACTTTTCTTACATATGCCCAAAATGAAATATTTTCATTGGATTTTTTTCTTAAACAGAGAAAGGTTGACAAAGTTCAGTTCAGCATGTTGTTTTTACTGTTTCATAGCTCTAAAAAAAAAAAGCCACCTTGTTTTCTTGTTAACATGGCTCTACTTTTCCTTTTTAAGTGTAAATTTCCAAAATTGGGCATTATACCAATGGGTGGACTCAGGCTTTGAGGGACCCTTCAGTGGAAATTTGGGAGGAGGAAAGGGGAAATAAGATTTGGATCATGAAAATTAACACTTCGTAAATTATATCCAGAGATCTTCTAATGGAGGACAAGTGTTAGACAGTCCTGGAAAGTAGATTGTTAAGAGGATCTGGTAAGAGCACGCATTCAGCACTTCCCCTCAGAGCTGAATAGAAGCGTTGCATTAAAGCTGCTTTATTCCTGCATGCAGCACAGTGAAGGTCTGCCTTTCATTCTCCAGAGGGGTGATCTGCCTCAAAGTGAGGTGTAATTTGCATCCCCACCACTATCTTTTACAGAATATTACCCATAAAATGTGAATGTATTAAGAACACAATGAGTGTTATGGCCAATCCTGAAGCTAAGACAAAACTTAAGCAGCTTCCTGAATTCATTTTCTTGTCTTGTTTATGTTCTTTCCTCCTCTTCTCCGTTTCTCCTCCTCTCCTCGGCACAACACAGTCCCTGAGCAGGAAGTTCTGAGCATGCTGCATGTACATCCCTAATGGAAGTCTGTGCTTTGGTAAAATAATATGAATTTCCAAACTAAATATGTTTTTGCCTACAGTGTTCATTTTAACAGTGGTTTGATGAAAAACCATCTCAATTATTGCTCAGCAAAAAGAAACAGCTTAAAAGTCAAAACGGTGGAAACTTCTAAGAGCTCAATTTTTCTTTTGAACAGCTAGAGTATTGACCATGCTCATGACTATTAGCTGTTTCTTTCACAAGTATTAAACATGAAAGGTTGGCTTTATATACTTAGAATCCTATGGACAGATTTGTTATCTCTTCAGAAGAAATCTTTCCAATTGTGTGTGTCTGCGCACACACAAATACTGCATCTTACAAATGACTTTCTAGAAGTATTTCTGATAGCTGCAGTGCTTAATATAGCCCTAATCTAGTGATACTAAGTCTGATACAGTTAAGTCTGAAGGAGGAAGAAGCCATCCTTCTACCTATATGCCTTAAATTCCACTCACGTGGTCTTTGTATTTCCTAACTCAAGGCTGAAAATTTCTGCCTGCAAAAATCCAATTTTAAAAGTAAGTTAGTGAAAACTGATCTCACTGGCATCAATTACTTATTTTCAAAATTAGGTTTTTTTCACATCAATAATTTATTTCATAATGGGAAACTCAATGTGATCTTGTCTGTCAGGAAGCTAGTAACTTCCCACAGTTTTTGAAACTGCAACAATAAAAGCATTGTCAGTTTCTGAGACTTCTCTGTAAGGAATATAAATGTGTTTACTAGGTCATGGTAGCTTGGACTATAATGCTTTGGCTGTCTGACCATGTTAGATGTTACTCAAGTGCTCTCTTTAGCTTCAGTGCACTTTCATTATCTTGAGATCAAGCTCTGTTGGTTGGCCAGCAGCTTAAGTGCCGAGGTGTTACATATTTGGTACCTATTACCTGACTGAAGAGTTCTGTCGCTTCCACTTTTTTATTCTGCCTGATATTAAAAGTAATTTATTCCCTTGCAAAAATTTTATAGGTTTATATAATGAAATTGTATAGGTTTGCTGATACTCCTGCCAAACGGTGAAATGCTCATGACGCTGGGCTAGATTTGGTTGATCTTTCAACAGTCTGGATCAGGCAGTGGGTACAGAGGCAATGCAGAGCTTTTGTGTTGCTCTCCAAATCGAGTCTGGATACTGAAAAAGGGTAACTCCGGTCTTGAATTTTGAGGACTTTTTTCATCACAGTTGATTAAAAAAAATGTAGAAACAATAATTGGATTGAACTGCTATGACTTGCTTCAGTCAGAGATAGAAGAGGCATTATCTGAATCCTTAAGATTTCCTGTGCTTCTGAGTGATATCTTGGGATGCTTTTCTGGGATAATCCTTCAAGATCTTTATTACATCTCTGGCAATATTCAGTGTGAAGCAGTTACACTGAAGTGGAGGTTCTGGACTACTATCAACAAAGGAGTCATGAAACAAATTAAGTAGAGCTAAAATACAGCCCTTTTTACATGCATTCATTACATATGGTGAACATTTGTTGTGCCCTTCACTTTACAAACCAAATTGTTTCTTGGTTGGGCAAAAGAAGAATGGTTAAATAAGTAGAAAAATCTGGAAAAAGTCATCTGGTCATTATCATCCTGGGCAGTGAACAGAGGTTGGGATGCCTGTTTTGTGGGCTGCCGCTGCAGAGGCTTTGACTCTGTGGCTCTGCTTATTGTCAGTCACAGAAATGGAAGTTTTGTTTTAAGAGCTTAACCGTTGTCAGTCTCTGCTTCTTCTGAACAGGTATGTGCATGGTGTAGTTTTTATAAAACCTCATCATAAAACAGCCTGGAGCAGCGTTGAGCTATGGTACTCTGGAAAGCGGAGGTGGATTAGTCTTGTTACTGTCTTGTCTGAAATCAAAAAGACCAATGAAAATTCTTCAAAGGAAGATTTATGTACATTAGTATGCGAGAGGACCTGCCCCTTTATTTTTACTAAGTGAGATGAAAAGGTGAAATCTTCCTTTGGAAAAGCAAATAAGAATGATACTAGGAAAAAATTGCCTTCACCCATATTTGGACACAAGTGGTTTTTACAACAGCTGCCTTTTGTTTAATTGTTTCGTTGTTTA